TCAATGACAATGATCTTGAATACTTAGACTTAGTGCATCTGAGTAGTTGGGGCATGGACGGCTCAACTGGATACTCACAATATCATCAAACTTTCTCATCTGCAAATCAGCAAGACGATTTCGATGTATTTTCGGTAACAACAACTCCAATTCAACTGTTTTTCCGTAACGATAACGATAACGATAACGTATAATTTAACACCACAGAGTATAAGATATTGTAGACCAATAATGTTAGAGTTTGTTAAAGAATCGAAACAATTAGACGTCGACACAAAGACAAGTATAGAAAAAGAAATAAGTAAATTAGTCCCTATAAAAATTGATTTACTCTGTGATAAGCATGTTTTGATTGATTTTGATTTCGAGATGAGTATGATGCATGGAAAAGTTCTCAATTACATTACAGATACAGTACCCATGCAGAACTTCCAATCTGTAAAGTTATTCCAAATATTATGACCAGTATAGAGGTTTGCATGACTACAAACTATTATTTCGTAATAAGCTAATCGCAATTTTGTTTTCAGTATCTTGAAAAAGGTTTTATTCCAGAAGAAGATTCACTATACTATGGAATTTCTCCTTTGCCTGCGTGGATGCGTTTTTTCGAATGTGTATTACACATATCATACAGAGTGGACTTCAATAAATGGCAAATAACAAAAGCTTTGAAAGAAGAGTACAAAAAAGGAAAAACAACATTCAGAATATACAGTGTAAAGCGATTGGTGTCAGAGCGGATCAACCAAGAGCGGGTGGAGCAGGAACCAGCACAACTGGAAACGTTTGCCGACGAGCATTCTCAAATCCTCAATTGCTGAGTAGCGTTTTGGATATCAACGTGAAACTTATAGAAAGATTTCGAAACATTTTGATTGCAATAAACTGTCAAGAACCGATCAACCCCAAAATACTAGACACCTATTGCAAAGAAATCTATCGTGTATATCTACAATTATATAGTTGGTATAAAATTCCAGCTACAGTGCATAAAGTACTCGCTCACGCAGGAGATATAATGATCCATTATCCAGCACCACTTGGAATCAGTGATGCAAAATATCATGACACTCACGTGACACTCGTCTTCGCATCAACCGACTATCGCTGACAGATCGTTTTGTCACGCAGCGAGAGTTAGAGCCATGGCAAACAACAATCACCAGTAATGGCCGCTGCTCACAAGCAAAACGTTACACTCGCTGCTGATGATGAAAAGCACAACGAAAACAGTGAAGACTTCTGCAGTACGATCATGAGAAAAAGCGAAACGACAGAAGAAAATGAAAACAATGCCTTCGCATTCCAAGTTCGTCTCGGCAGGCGTGAGTGTGTGAGTTACAAACAAAGCAGGCAACCTTGAACGGAAGCTGTTGGGCTCACTCACCAACACACTCACATAAGCAAGCAAAGCAGCAACTGCTTCAAAACGAGCACAGATGAGTGTAGTGATTGTCATTAATGACCAGATCGGTGATTGATCACAACAGAAGACGAGATTCACCAGTTGCCATGGAGAGAACTTCGACGAGCACATTGATATGAATGTACAAAGCGTTACTACCATCAGCTGTTTGATGATGGTGATTGTGATAGGTCGCAACTCTGCTTGGAATACTAGCCGAAGAAGCAGCCGAATGCCAGCACAAACACTTGAAAAAAAGTCGAACCCATCATGCTAGGAAAAGATCAAGAGTGGAAAATTTACATGATGTTTTCATAAGAGCCATGAATACCTCTGATCCTTACATAAGTTCGCTTTATTTAAGTAATCGACAAACAGACATTTCATGTATTTAAGAATAATAACATTTCAACAGAAACAACTTCAGAGAGAACAGCATTAGAAGAATTGTTGAGTGACGTTGATGAAATTGACGATGACTTTGTTGAAGATGCAAATTTAGAAAGTGCTAACAATAAACTAAAACTTCATTTTTTCGCACAGTTACCCAAACACTTTACAAAGAAAAAAAAAATGCTTTGCAAAAGAGATGAATGCTTCCGTAAAATTTCAGAATACTATCAAAGATTCCATTGTGATTGACTTTAATCAATTAAAAAATAATGGGCATCTTTTTCAAAGATAGTTAAGATATTTACCCCAATTCAACTCTTTCACTTACGAGACAATAAAAGTCACTGATCGCGCACGGATAGGACCCAATTTGTACGTTGTGTGATAGTTGAAAATAAAGATTTACGATCGATTTACTGACCGTCCTGCCATGGCGGAGGTAAAAGTACTACAGACGTTTATTTACTGTAACATAACAAGAACAGTACATAATAAGCTATAACAATGATACGGGGACCAGTGGTGACATCTATGGGTAGGCACAGTACCTATTTTATGTTAAGGTGTACACACTAATCCAGGCCTCCATCGTTCGGTAAATTTTGAACTACAGAACTGTTCGGTAAAAGTTTAAAAATCAGTGAAAAATCCAATTATTAGAAAATTTATTCTGAACTTGTACAGAATCTGTTCGGTTTACCCCATTTATTGATGAAAAATAAAATTTATAAATTTTCTTGATTTCTCACGTGTAAAGGTCATTTGAAAATTTTACCGACTTGTTCAGCTGTTCAAAAACCCGGTAAATTCCTACCGACTTCGGTGATCTGAATTAAGTGTGTAGAGGCAGTAGTAGTCGCCTGCACTAACAGTCACTTTGTGAGGTGACTCTCCCTGCAAATCAAATGTAGAGTCTTCTCACAAGGCGTGACTTTCATTGCCTCGCAAATGACAGAAGGTCAACCTGATGTACAGAATAGGGGTGATTGCTTAAGACCTTGATCTTGACTTGTAAAGTTCCATCATCTTTTTGCTCCAGAATAGTGAGGAGGGCACCGAATACCATTCTGTGATTTACATATAACCAGAACTTCTTGAACTCATAACGATTTTCGGGCCATTGTTTACGACATAATTTAACCTTACTCAATGACCATAACTCCAGAATAGTTTGGAAGCAATTAATCTTTGATCACTGATACGCTACGGGGCTGTCCAAAAACCACGTGGTTCATTTTTAATGATTTTGAACCTCTCTCCACAACGCGTTCAATTGACAAATCCAAGTTTCAATCGGCTACCGTGGCGCTGCAATCGCAGCGGTGATAAGTCCGAAATAATGTGTCAAACTGAATACATTTTTGAAATTTCAACCAAAATACTATTATTTTGTATTTATTCTAGCGATTTCTGTGGGAGTCAAAAGATGATCCGAGCAAAAAAGTAGTACTCGTAATAATGGTATATAATTCTGAATTTTATCGTGCTTTGTTTCGAAAATATCTTCCAAATAAACAAACATCATCCAGATCACCCGATTCGTCCACCGACTAAATCTATTGCCACTTAAAAATTAATTTCAGTCGGTGTATTAATCAGCCGATTAAATCGTTTTTCGTCTGGTGCTACACCGAGCAATCGGCCTATTTAATAGTTTTTCGTCGATGGATTTAGTCGGCCAACTTTGTCTGCTGTTTAATCGGTAGATGATTTCAAACCTTAACATGTTTTCTGTAATTTAACTGTCTTGAAGTAGCTTTTTATTTAGGAACAATGCATTACAAAATAATTTTATGCATTTTGTACAAGGTTCATCCATGCTGACAAGAAATTTGCATGAAATTACATTGAAATTAAACAATTTTGCAAACAATCAATTAAATTGTCAAGGGCTGTCACAGACTTATCACCGTCGGTTAGTGCTTATTCCTGCCACCAGGCGCGCAGGAGTTTAAGTTGGATTTCTCAATAGACTGATGCAAAATTTGAAATTTTCGCTCCACAGTGTTCAAACGGTTTCAAATCGGGTCCTGATCAGCCTACAAAAGTTTAAACTCATTTGATAAGAAACTGACTTGGCACAGACCATTTGAAGTTTATATGGAAATTACTATGGGAAAACAAAACTTTTTGTTCATAGTCTTCTAGCCTTTTTACTTATTGTACTGTTAACAAATTCTATTACTATTCTTATGGGAATTTTTATCAGCTACAACTTTGCAGAAAATTGATTTTCAGCCAATCGTTAAACTAAATAGTTATTAATTGCTTAAGAGATTGATAATCTTATGGCAAGATTAAGCAACTGTATTGTGGGCAACACTGTATTCTGCAGTGTGACATAGTAGCCATGATTTGTGTCCTCTATTCTACGCGTCATAAACATCAATGTTGCCTGCTGAACAGTTGATTGAGCATAATCATAAGACATCAGTGACTTGAATCATTAATAACAATTGTTCCTTACATTTGATCGAAAAGTGGTCTCCAACAAAGTTGTAGCTGAGAAAATTTTCAACAAGCTCAGCTATTATTTTCTTAAGTAGAGTGAACTGGTGAATTTTGAGATAGATATGAACCGAAATTATGGTTCCTCCATAGTAATTCCCATATCAACTTCAAATGGTTTGTGCCAAGTCAGTTTCTCACTAAATGAGTTCAAATTTTGGGAGGCTAATCAGGGCCCAATTTGGAATCGTTTGAGCACTGTGGAGCGAAAATTTCAAATTTTGCATCAGTCTAGTGATCAAACGTCTATACACATTTCTGAAAATTTGTATGGATCGTGGTCTTTCGTCCCCCCCCCCCTAAATTGACTGCGTGGTTTCTGCATGGCCCCTAAGATGCATATTGCGTTAAACATCATTAGTAGGGACCTCATGGCATGTCAAATACGTCGAAAATTTACGAGTCAAACCACATTGATTCAAGAGGACATTTAAATCTCAACTTGAGGACATTTTGTAGACCTTAAGATATTACATGACTTCAGAAACATCTTGAAGCTAACAATTCATACCCATACTATCATAAATCAAGACAAAAATTCATTAAAAGCACGAAAATATTTTTGGCCACCTTCTTGTATGGAGATTCCCCACTGTGCACTGGTACCGCTTAGTCTGAGATGCCTCCTTTCGGTTTGCACCTGGCTCCGCCTGTGAAAGTAAAATGCTAACAAACAGGTTGAAACACTAACCGTCGTATCCAGTTTAGCCGTGTATGCCAAGGTCCTGTTCTGGTCCGGCTCAAGAAACGCTCTTCCGCCCTTCGGTAGCATTACTGACCCACTCTGGTAGTGCTCGTACATGTACTGGGTTTTGCTGCTTCCACCAGCGTACCTGTATGGAAGAAATCGAGGTGACAACAAGATTTGAACATTGATTAATCACAGCGACAGGCTATTACAGACAGCCAATAAGTGTCGACCGTAGTGGTAAATCGATTATTTGATAAAAATCTATTCCTCAGCACTCAACAGCTCGGCATTAAACTGATTGCGTGATTTACTCCAATCTGTAGTCTGTTAATGCAATGATTATTTACGTTCTCGATGCAGCAGAGTTGTACCTGAGAGGGAGGGACAGCAGAAGCTTACCGATTCGCTGCTTTGGTGGCACCTATCCGGACGAGATCGTTGTTGCTACGGCCGGTGTTGGTGGCGCCACCACTGACGTTGTTGTTGCTGTTCCTACTGGTGCGGCCAGCTCGACCGTGATGATTTATGTGGTGGGAGAGATTCCTGTGAAAAAAAAACACAAGATATTCGAGACGGTGAGTGCGTTGCAATCCGGCTGGTTGGGGTGATAAATTGTTTTGGGACATATTTCTTACTATTGTGATGCTAATTGTCTAATGGGTGATGTATAGGTTGACTTGGGAATTAATTCTACACTAGGCAAGTGCACGATTCGCTTTCCACTCAAACTACTGCACGGCGAATGAGAACAACCCAAATTTGAGTTTAATTCACTCATAATCGCCAAAAGTGCAGGAACTCAGCGATGAGTAAAATTTGTCTCATGTTTTCCCAGGATTTTCCAGGGAAAAATTCATGAATTTGAGAAAAGTAAAGATTGGATTCATACAGTCTATTGGTACTACTCCGAGACTGAATAAAATTTTCGTCAATTTCCTCATTTTCCGGCAGATTTTTTAGGTTTTCCACAGGAAATCATGAGACAAATTTACTCATCGCTGAGTTCCTGCACTTTTGGCGATTATGAGTAAACTAAACTCAAATTTGGGTTGTTCTCATTCGCCGTGTGGAATTGGCAAGCTAAGAACAAAGTCCTTCGAAATACGTTGCAGATCTGACCAATATTTCCTAATCATCCAATAAGGCTTCCCAATGTTTTGGGATAAATTTTATGAAATGATGAAACTAAATTCAGTTGCAGTAATTACCTGATTTTTCAGTGGTATTATTGCACCAAAATATACCTTAAACATCCACCTTGAAGATGGACGAGAATGATATGGAACTACAGTTACCTATGTGAAGTTATTGAACGATAAAAGTCTGATGCTGACAAAATCGGGTCATTCCTGTAGTAACTTATTTGATATGCTTCGTGAAAGTGAAGGAGCTTGACGAACACCAAGTCGAGAGCAGGTGTAAAGTTCCACTTGGGAAGTAATAGTCAAAGAAGGAGATATTTATAATGATTAATGTTCGTTCGGGCCTTTTGGGGTCATGTCAATTTCTAGACCTGGCCTGGCCGTACCAAATTGTTACTGGTATAATAACTCGTTTACTCTTCATTTCATGTAGATTTCCGCTTCCGAATCACGCCGTGCTGTAGCACGTGCAGATCCGCTATGGTTCAAGTCCGTTTAACCCCTTCCGCGCGAAAGCCCCATCGGAAAACATTTAACATAGCTGCACTGCAAGTCAATCAAAGGGGCAGAAAATTCCTACGAAACCATAATTTTCACACCAATCAATAAATTATCGTCAAATTCAGAACATCAACACCAAAAAACATCTTCGCATACACACACACACGCACACACCTGCCAAGCGGGATAATTATCCGCCTTAACAGCCCCGCTTGGATCGTTTAATCTTCCAATAAGCTTTAACGATATAATTGCAACGCCAGAGCGGGCACCATTTTCCAGTCCCGATTCATGGACCTAGTAGAGTGGAGCTCGAACAGCGGGAGGTCTCCGCCGAGGTATATGTAGATATACCTTCTACTCTGTGGTAATTTGTAGTGCTTTCAGCATCGAAGAGCTGCAATTAAATGACCATTTTCCGCTGGTGATATTAAATCTGAAATAGGGTTTTCGTGTGAATGGTTTGAATTGATCATTAATCATTGGGAAAGCTGCGTGGCTGCTGGCTCGACTCGACCGGGTTTGTTTACCTTATTGCATACTTAGGGCATATTGGTTTTGCGATTCAAAGAAATCCGCCACGACGTCGAAGGCGTGCGATATCAGCTTATGTTGATAATGACACCCAGACGCCCGGGTTAAGTAGACCCTTTCAATGGAGCATAATTGTTGCTGTTGGGTTGAGTCATTGGGCTCTCGCGTCGCGGTCGTAGGTAAACACTCGCGCGTGAAAACATCAGTGGAAGCCATTGAACCTATAAAACTCCATGTGGTGCTATATTATAGTGCAAACATCGCCTAGCCTATGCCATAGAATAAAGCAATTTGCCATGAATGGACAGCGGCGGTTGTGCGGCTTGTTATTTTTCTTCTAATTCACTCTAAAAGGTAAATGCGAGGTAATCACAAGAATCACGCGAGACTTTCAATGATAGGTATCAGTTGGGCCTGAAGTGTATAAATATTGAATATTATGCAGATTAATTGCTCCGAGTCGTTTTATGGACTGTGGACGACGCTGCTGGGAGGTGAATTAAGATCGCATTAGCTGTGACTGTTGGGTACCCTGCTGCATGACTGTTGATATAAATTATTGTGATGTGTTTATAACATCAAAAGATCCGATGAGGCAATTTGGTCTATTACATGCTGCTTGTGTGGTACAATTAAGAGGTTTGTTTTTTTTTTTGCTCGCTAGTGAATGTGCTTTTATTGTAGACCCATTAGTTGACTTGTCAAACCATTGTTATATTGTCTCCATCTTCTACTGCCCAAATTATGGTTCTAGCTCTTGCTTTGCTTCGATTGATACGCTTTCATAAAATTATCAATAGCTGATCTAATACTTAATAGCATAAATTTAGCTTATGTCGACTATACTGGGGTGCAAATCAAAATATATGTATGATGAAAACGTGTTAGGTTTTGAACGCTTGAAACTTTGTCATTTATAGATGAAATTAACATCCAAATACGCCAATCGATAGGAATTTACTTTACGAACCTGCTAAAATAAATACTTTTCCAATTTTCCATAAAACGCTTCTGTCGTGTCTCTGCTCATTACCGCTTCGGACGGCGTGGCGCTTTCAAATCCGCACAGATGTTAACACCCCTAGGGGCTGTTCATTAACTACGTAGGCAGTTTGGGGGTGGAGGGGTGTTAGCAATTATCCACGGCCCATACAAATTCATTTTTTTTTCTGTATAGATGTGTACGCAGGAGGAGGGGGGGGGTACAAGAATCCCAACAACTGTCTACGTAGTTAATGAACAGCTCCCTAGAGGTTGATCACGGCGTAATCACCTTGACCACCAGCGACAGGTTTAACACGGAAATTATTCACCTACTTATTGGAAACCAAATGTTTGATTTGAGAAAAGTTACAGTATTCTATCTTGCATCATTCTACGAACATGCTGTAAACTACATAATGATGATGCCTGATAATTTTATGTTAGGGTTATCCTCCAAATTGGAGAACAAAGAGGTGCTTAAGCCCCATATGATCGTTATACCCCTTTCTCCCCTACTTCGCTGATATATGAACCAACAATTTGTTCAATATTGAAAGTACCGTCTTCTGAAAAGGAAAACAACCATGTTGCGTTATCATAAAATTCAAGCTTCACTCTCTTCTCTGCTTCAGAGACCTAATTTTAAACTAATGATGGAGCTACTGAAAAAAATTAACGTATCGTTTGGCAATTGTTTTATCCTACAGCATGCATGGCGTCTTTGTGGACTATAATGGGGTGCTACTCCAAAATAAATAACAGCTTGTAAATGCTTGAACCAACATTGTAAAATGCTTGAACCAACATTGAACCATAACTGAAAGAGTGAAATACTTGAACAATTTAAGATTAAGTATAATAGTCAAAAATGCATGACACACATCAATTTTGCGTAGTTCTACGTCATACTGCGGTCGTGTCTAGGACACAACTCTTTATTTTTTTTAATAGAACGAAAAATTGTTTCATCGTTTACTATACACATTGGAGAGCACCAATTATTTTTTTTAAGTGGAATGTGGTGGGATCTAGTCCCTGTCTAAGGATGAGGGGTTTGACGATGATTCTTCAAGTGACTGGAGAGAGGATGGCTCTGATTGCAATGCTCAAGTTACTGAGCTTGGTTTCTCAGGTAATTGCACGAACAGCGGGAAATGATCACTACACATCCGAACATAGTCCCTTGACAATTTCAGTCATTCAGTTGGAGGCATGAATACAACCGTAGCTGAGTATGAATTTGCCTGCTCGGATGCTTGTTACGATATATACGCCTTCACCGAAACTTGGTCGAACAGCAACACACTTTCTAAGTAAGTCTTTAGTTCGGATTTTACGGTCTATCGCACTGATCGTTCTCGAGCTACTAGCTCCAATGTTTCCGGCGGTGGAGTTTTGCTAGCAGTTTGTTCTACTTTTAACTCTCGGTTACTTCATCTACCTAATAGCTGGTTTACCCTACCTACCCTACCGTTGAACGTGGTCTTCATTTGCGCGGTGTATTTATCCCCAAATCGACTTGGCGATTCTGAGTTGATCGATCAACACATTGATTCACTTTTTTGGGTTGTATCCAAGATGAATGCGACTGACGAGATCGTGGTTGTTGATGATTTCAATCTTGCTTCAGTCAATTGGTTATCGAATGAAGCAGGGTTCTTTCATCCTCGCTCTAATGGCTCATATATTACACCTCTAGTAGCATCTCTCCTAGATTGCTACAATACTGTTGATCTACTGCAACGGAACGGGATCTCCAATAAAAATCATAAACGAGTGCTTGATCTATGTTTCCTTAGCCGTGCACTCGCCTCTAATTTGTCGTTCCAAGAGGCACCTGAATCACTAGTTAAACGTTGTAGACACCATTTACCTCTGCAGCTATGTATGATCAGAGATGCAAAATATCATGACACTCACTCGACACTCGTCAACGCATCAACCGACTATCGTTGACAGAACGATTTGTCTAGCAGTGAGAGGTAGAGCCATGGCAAACAACAATCACCAGTAATGGTCGCTGCTCACAGGTAAAACGTAACACTCGCTGCTGATGATGTAAAGCATAACGAAAACAGTAAAGACTTCTGCACTACAATGATGAGAAAAAATTAAACGACTGAAGAACATGAAAACAATGCCTGCGCATTCCAAGTTCAACTCGGCACGCGTGACTATGTGAGTTACAAACTAAGCTGGTAAAATTAAACGGAAGCTGTTGGGCTCACTCAAAAACACACTCACATAAGCAAGCAAAACAGCAACTGCTTCAAAACGAGCACAAATGAGTGTCGTGATTGTCGGGAATGACCATATCGGTGATGGATCAACACCGAAGACGACATTCACCAGTTGCTTTTTACATCTTTCGTCAACTTGATG